GAGTTGTTTTCCTTCTAACTTCGATATTTAACGAGTTACGTATGATTATTTGGCATTTTATTGATGTTGACAAAATCCAACCGATCCACCGTCGAAACAGCCAACTTTTGACAAAAAATGTCGTTTTTCTACAATAACTCCTAAACCGTTGGTCGTACAGGAAAATTGCATAGGACCTTTCTTGTAGAGGACGACGAGATCTACAATTTCTGTATAAAAGTTTTTTGCTAGCATTAATACTTTACGAGTTATTGACGAAAAACGAAAAAACAGTTTTTTGCAAATTACTCGTTAACTATTAACGCTAGCAAGAAACTTTTATACAGAAATTGTAGATCTCGTCGTCCTCTACAAGAAAGGTCCTATGCAATTTTTCCGTAAGTCTAGCGGTTTGGGAGTTATTGACAAAAAACGAAAATTTCGCTAAATTTGAAGGGGTACCCCTTGGAAAAATCTCGGAAAAATCGAAAATTTTTTTTTGTTGTTTATTATTAGCAATGTTCTTCCGACGTATGATTTCTTTTTAAAAAATGCGTTTCTAAAGTGCATAAACTTTTGGAATTGACTGTATAGCCAATACATCCTTAAATGGGACGGTAGTGAGTCATAAGAAATGTTCGTTTCGTATCGGTACGATAAGAGTGGCTGAGAATTGATCGAAAATCAACGTTGCGACCTTAACTTCGTTGTTCGTCAAAGTATCGGTCGTCTACCTTTACATATTCCTATTCTCATTGAAAGAATTCTTAAAGATGAATCGGAAAAGGTCTCGGGAATAGGAAACGGTCCAAGTAAATACTGGATTCGCTTATTCTTAAATAAATCGGAATTCACGTAAAACTCTGTTTCACAAAAAGGATTGCTCCAAGAAGTCCGAAGCAAGTCGTGTCCATCAGGAAAACGAGAGGATCCTTTCCGGTTTAGAGGACGGGAACGCGTTTCTGTCGCAAGTTTGATGGATCGGTCGATCGAGTTGTCTAAGAATCCGTCGATCCGTCTTACTTTCTCGAATCCGAACGTCATAACAACGGCTCCTATAGTTGCCAAAAAGTTTCGTCGGATGATTCGTCTTCGACTTCCGACTCGTGCTGACCATGAAATCGTTCGATGTGTTGTACCTCGTATCGAATATTACGTATCGTCGTCGCAACGAGATTCTTTCGTTTCGGCACGTGATTCGCAAATTCGGGTCAGAGATAACGTATCCACGTACTTACGTCTCTACGTACGAAGATGATATCTCTGCAGTTATCAAGTTCTGATTCGAAAACATAATTTCGCGAGTCGTCGAGCTCGGTGCTTGAAACACAAGCAACTCGCGTTTTACGCAGATGCTCGACCTTCTGCGGAGAATAATGGCTAATAATTTCGAGCGGGTGTCAAGCACGCCTACGCAGTAATTATCGCTGGGCGACGCTGGTGTTCGAGTGTATGCGACGATAAAATTAGGTATCCGCATAAACGTACGAAGGAATGTTCGTTACGATTTTGCAGATCCAAATTCTTTCACCTGTGCGCATCGTACATGAACAACTGACGAGCGAGGCTCGATTTCGGAAATGTCGATCGGTCACTGGACGGAAAAAAACTGTTGATGCAGGCCGCGTGGCTCGTCAAGTCTTCTTGTCCCGCTGTCACGAGCCCGTGACCGATCGGTCCGAGCAGAAGTTCGTCCCGATTCTCGAAATCGCGTTTTTTCTCGAAAAAAACGTGTTCCGAAGAACGAACGGTGGGCCCGCGAACACACGTGCTCGATTAAAATTGATTCGAGCATCGTTGGACAATACGTAGATAAATTTCTGAAAGAGATAAATTTCATCGATCATTTTTTTACGCTTATCGTCGTCGCGTGCACATAGACGAACTATGATTCGCGATCTATGGACGATCGAGGGAAATTAAATTTACGGTCGTCGTTAAACCGTGAAATTCTTATTTTTAATCATTCCGACGCGCGTTCGACTTAAATGTTTCTAAGCAGATTTCGGAAACATCGAAAACGGATTCATATTTGGACGAAATTCAGTGAAGCCTGAGTTCACACGGGACGTCGGATGCGAGTCGTCGCGACGCGTCACGTCACTCGCAAAATTCTCGGGGCTCGCAGGGGCACGGTCGGGTGCCCTCCTCGAGGGTCAGAAGCGGTGGCGAGCCCCATAATAGCCCTCGACCGGGTCCCACCCTCCCTGGTAAGCCAGGAGAACTTCGAAAGCGTGCACGACCGCAAAGTCGCCGCCCCTTGGATGGCGGCCCGAAATTTGATTATGCCACTTCCACGTGGATGAATCCGAAGCCAGGATTCATCGGTACCCGCTTTCCGCCTCATGATTTATACTTTTCTACCGTGTCTCTCTCTCACTCTCGTCCTTTATTCCCCCGTTCATTCCCACCGCACCGACAAGTTGTCTTTGTCATCGTTCTCTGATGAAAACGCACGCGCGTTATTGTTATATGTTTCGAAATCGAGCGCTTCCTCTCGAGATTCAACGTTGGGAAGAGAATTATATCAATGTTTTAGCGTTGGTTACTCCCGCTTCTGGATCGATTGACATTGGCACGTATCGTAAAGATCGTGATTCGAAATACCTTAAATCAGGACCTCGTCAGTATCCTCTGCGGTCGTTTCATTACTCGCAAACTGGTAGTTAAACGACGAGAGAAGCGACCGTACCAGAAGGCTGTATCGATCGCGTTTGGTTGTGGTCGCGGTTTATCTCATCGGGCATTAATCAAAAGGGCCGGGAACTTCCACGCGAGTGATTCCTTCATTGAACGGAGGACACGGGGACAGATAGATCTTATGAAAGACCGTTCTGCCAGATGGCCCGTGCCCGCAACGAACGTTCAGTCCTCCGTTGTACCTCACGCTTTTCTCCTCTTTCATAGAAAAGCCGTGCGAGACGTCTTTCACGGTTTTCTGTCTTACGAACGTGCCTGCACACGTGCATTTCGTGGTTTCACAACGAGCGTCCCAGGGCCTGTTCGAGGGCAATCGTGTGGGCAGATACGCGTCTTCCGTTCGTTATTGGCGAAGAGGCAAGAGGAAAGATTTTGTCGTTAGGCATAAAATTGTTCGATATTTAAATTTGTAAGAGACAGAGAGAAGGAAAGAGAGAGAAAGTAGAAAACGCGTACGCAACGATCGGACTGTTCATCGATTACGAACGAAAAGGTATTGTGATCGTCGAAAGCGACATGAGGAAGAGCATCGGAGCGGTGCAGCTGCGTCGGCACTTTGATGCCGCGTAAACGACGTTCTCTGAACGATCGGGAAACAGCATCCCGACTGCGAATGCCGGTCAGTGCGACGCGGTGTGAATTAGCATGTTCGATGGCCGAACAACCCTTTGACGAGGCGTATTGAACGGGAGCGTGGCGTGCAAATTTCACCGCGGGTCGTCCCCATTCATTGATTCCACGTCGACGCCTCTGCGAAAACGGAACCGCGTGAAAATTGAACAATCGCGAGACGAACCGGCGTGAAACGAGCGGGAACGATTATGTTTGCACGGATATGAATGATTTTCCAAATCGATGTAAGAAAACATATTTTTATTAGATCGTTCGTCAAAAAATTTGCAAAAAATCGATTTATTAACAATAAAAATGTTATTATCAACATTGATCAAATAAAAGCTAGATCCTTAACGGATTTCGTTTCGTTTGTAAAACACTGACTCTCCTGCTCTTAACATTCGAAATGTATTATATATATGATTATATATATGTTAGATTAAATTGTATTTGGTACCTCTCACGTAATACAAGACGCTTTGGCCGGTCACGGGAGATCAGGCGATTCGTCGTGCGACGGCCTTCCGTCGTCCTTAATTTTCACGGCACCCTCGAAGAGAAATACATCAGCGCAGGAGCAGCCGTTTAGCGACTATGAAAAACCATAGCGAATTAATAGAGTCGTTTCCTTTGTCAGCGATACCTGGACGGGCGTCGCTCCGCTCTTTGCTACCGACCCTGACAGGCCGTTACTAAATACACGCACGTAGATCAGCACTTTCCAAACAAATTGGAACACGTCGCTTTTCATGATTACATACACTTGAACAATTTTCTTTTTCATGAACAATGTTCATGTTCGTGTAAAAAGAACCTGCGTAATGATACGTATTTCTGAAGCACCTAAGAAATACGAAAGTATATGTTCAAAACGCGACTCTCTCCACGTTTAATAAAGACGGTGACCGGACGTTTCAACGAGCGAGGTACGTTACCAGGAACCAGGAAAGTACTTGACACTTCGAGAAGAGTCAGAGATCGACAATAGGGAAACACGAGCCACGCCCAAGTGCCGATGATCGAGCGCGGCGAAACGATCCGATTTTGTTCGGGACGCGAGAAAACAGGGGCGCACGCAAGGTGTTCACCGGAGTACGAGTGTCTCTCCTTTCTCGACGAGTAAATTTGACGTTGGCCATACCAAATAAACACATTGAGCGCCGGCTACGTTTGAAGTGGTGTCCCCGTTGACAGCGCGACCATGAACATCGTGACAATTGTTCCGTCGGCTCCCTTTCAACGTCGGTCTGCCCTCGTTTTTCTCCTCCCTTTTACCCCCTCTACCATCGACGGTCCCTTTCGGGAAAATGAGATTCATTCAGCGTCGGAACGCGAAGAGTCGACGTCAAAGAAACCCGCTCGCTATTATCTTCGTTCTTCGGCCAATTTTTCCGCTGGTTCTGAGGAAACTTCGCCCCATCGTCCATACTCGTGCTCCGTGCACTTGTCGTTAAGATCCATAGAATCCAGCTTTGTCCCTGCTTGATGACAAACTTCGCTCCTCTTTCTCCTCTCACTCGAACGTCGTTTGATCCTCGATCCACTCCTCCGTTCGCGTTGTGAAGAATATACATTCACGTCACGGATACTGAAAGAAGTACTGTGTTCAGTAAGTCGTTTGAAACGGAATGCGAGCGATCCTTACATGTATTACACTTGCGATCCTCATCGCTGTCCTCCTCTAGATGCGTTCTCGTATGTCTGTCAACCTCGGCCACGTTATCGAATTCCATTGAACAAACTCTACAGCTGAACTTCACAGCCCGCAAAATTCCTATTTGACTGGCAGTAATCGGATTCGGCACTACTGGAAATATGTTGCTGCTGCCATCGCCGATGCTACGCCTCAAGCCCTCTTTTTTCTGATGAGAGCTCACATGGTTCCTGCACACGATTGCAAATGCTAATTACACTCGGCTGAAGAGACGGTCGGGACGTGTTACGATACCTGTAAGCTTGTTCGTTCCTGAACGTGATATTGCAATCGACGCAACGATGATCTCGTTGCGGAGAAGCTTGTTGTGTCAAAGGTACCGCAGACATTTGGAAAACGGTGTTCTGCAATTTAACGGCCGGGTGAGCTACCGAATAATGCTGTTTCACGTCTTCCTTCAGTTCAAACGTTTCCATGCACTGATGGCATTTGTACGGACGCAATGGATCCGTGCTAACGTGTAATCCGACGTGCTTTTGGTAACTCGCTTGCGAACATTCCGCGTGGCATATATCGCATACAAAGTGGGTTTTGGTATGAAGGTATAGGGACTGCGGCGACACGAAAGACTTGTGGCATATCGGACAGCTGTTCGTCTGTTCCTCATTGTTTTTCATTACATAATATTTATCACAGTGCTCGCATTGAAACGCTGGCTTCGAATCGTAAGTAGACTTCTTCAATTTGCAGCCTCCTTTCGCGCACACCGCGCTTCCAGCTTTCTGTACGGGCTGAACCCCATCGTTACTTGTCAGTTTGAACGATCGTTGGTACTGTTTCAATAGCTGTTGTATTATCTTAAGTTTTTTTGATTTTGGGCAAGGTTTCCCATATATTTTATCTATTTGTATCGTTAGACGATACACTTTCTGTCTTGTTCCTTGGCACGAATCAGGATTGATACGAGTACGTATATTCAGTACTTTGTTACTGACAGGTATGTCTGTTCCATCGTTCTCATTTTTCTTTTCTATCTACAGTACCAAGTTCATTTAATAAAAATAGTTAGAAGTATATATTGCGATCATTTACCTTTTCCATCGATGGGTCACATGGGTTTTCCATTATCGGAGTCACTGTACTTGAACTGTCATCTAATTTTTTTTGTTTCAACCCCATTTTTGATAATTCGGTTTCTGACACATCTTTGGCTTTACGTTTCTTTTCATCTTCTACAATGAAAATCATTCATAGCAGCATCTCTGCTCTTAAGAATTAAAATGGTTCATTCTCCTACCTACCAATCGATTTACCAAGAACAGCTGGAACAGCATTAGGAACTAACTCCTTGGAGTCGGTGATGCTCGATTTATCGAAGTGCAGTTCGCAGAGATACAGTGGCTTATTGCTTTCGGTATTCTCATTTATTTGGCAGTTGCTAAACCAGTCTCTTCTTTGCCTAGAAAGATTAAACGATGATAACCTTCCAAGTCTTTGTACTCGTACATCTATAATCACGGATACTCACGCTGTATTCTCGGGAAAAGGAAATAATAAAATATCTCTTCCATCGATTTTCGTAATCTCGTTCGAACGACAACCGTGTGCTTCGCAAGTCAACATTCTGTTTATAACAAAATCACGTGTAAACGACTATGATTCTTCATAAAAAACTGATCAACAGACGATTAAGTTCTCGTATAAAAGCACTACAAAAGGTGCATAAATTAAAATGAACAGATTATAAAGGGAACAAGAATGCGATACAATGACAAAAAGTAGTAATCATTGGTAATCGTAAAAGCATCGATCAATGAGGAATATTGTATACTGTTCATTGATCAGCATGTATGTGACCACTCAATGTGACTGTATATATGTAACGTATACATCTGAAGCAATCCGAAGTGTGCCGAGGTAGATTGGTGCGTGTACGTGTTGCCAACTTAACACCCCTAAATTTTTTACGGTGGAGCGATAATGCATGTTAGGCGTCAGATCATAAAATTTTCATCTCCCCACTCTCCATAATATTATGTATATGTAAGAATACTATAATATTATGTATATGTAAGAAGACACCGAAAAGGTTCTCGGTGAAAATACATGTCAAAAGTCGAGATAGGATCGAGAGTAATTCTGAATTTCCGCGCGGAAATCACGTGACCGCATTCTCCGTGTTCCGCTAGTACAGTGGGTACAGTGAATCGAGTGTCGTATGTACGAAAATAAGTTTATTTTTATAAATAATATGTTATAATGAATACATGAAAGGTATAATTAGAATGCTGATAAAGATGCAACGACATCAGTGATTTTTTAAGAAAAGTCGAAAACATTTTTCATCGAAACAGGTATATCCACGATTTATTTCTCATTGTCTTCCGCTTCGATCGCTCTTGACACCGGATGAAGTTCTTAGCGATTGATTTGGAGTAGACGCCGCATTATTATCTGAAAAAATACGTGGATCGTCTTTAAATTCGTTTCGAAGCGAATGCGATCCTGCGTTCACAGACCTTTAAAGTAACTTCTCTTCGATTTAGGCGTAGAAAATAGTCTGGAATATCTCGCGGCAAGTTTCGGTTCGTTAGATCGTCGCTGACAAATTGATTGTCTCTGAGGAGATTGCTCATCTGTGCTATCGTTAAATTGAGACCCTGACGATGTTCTAGGTCTATTCAGTAGGTTGTATTTGTATCTTTTGAACAAATGATCATACTTTCCTAAAGAAAAGTTGTGACGTGACGTAATAAGTGTTTTAGGCCAATTGTTCCTTCGATTATGTACATACCTCTAACCGGAGAGATCGATGTCATTTCAGAAATGATTTCTTTGCCTAGGTGTCCATCAGAGAATAAATTATATTTTGGTGATATTAAAATAGTTTGTAAACTCGTAGGACATACCGAACGTGCATCGAACGTACAACTTTTAATTTTCTCAAACAAATTACAGTCTCGACAATCTCGTAATTGATCAGAAACTTGCTCTACAAGTTCCCGAAATTCCTCTTCGATACTTTTGAGATTTGTGCACTGCTCTGATATTTCTAGTTCCCATTTCGTTAAATCTATCATGTTAGCCTTTCTTAAATTATACTCCGTTCGTTTGAACGCTTGATCAAATAACGTCAGTAAAACTTGAAGCACTAAACATCCATCCTTATACAAGCCGTTGCCATTATGCTTTAAACGACGTTTCGATATAATTCATGCGATCTTACAATCCTACATTCTACGATACTTGATATTTTTTTACCTGAACATTGAGACACGCCAGTGTCTCATGACTTATTTCTGGTAAAACGTTTCCGTCGAGAACTTTATTATTCACGCACGAATCCATAATTATGTTACTACATTTGTCGGTTATATCCTTCAGTCTTTTTAATTTCGAATTCTCATGGTTCAGATATTTAATATTTTGTATTGTGCTTTGCTTCCATACTGTAAATTGTTTGGGACAGTAGTTTAAAATTTTGATTACGTACACTATATGTATGGTGTAGCTCACGAGTATATGAATACTGACGGTCAATGATTTCTGTATCGTCAACGTCTCTAAATCGCTTTGCAATTAACGGACTGACTGAAAGCGTAGAAATGATCTTCTCCACGTTTCCCTGCACTTGAAAAATCGCGGTCTGCGTTTTGGCCAATTCGTCAAATTTGCATCTTAAAAAAAGAATCAGGTCTTTTTATAATTTACAAGTTAAACTAACTTTGTTTAAACGTAATAGTAACAATAAGTAAACTTTACCTCATGTAATGTTTAAAGGTCTCTAAAGTCGATTTGTCTTCATCGTGAAGCTTTTTGAGTGCATCTTTTTCCTTTTTATTCAGAACAAGAAGATATCTATGAGTTATGCTTCCTATCTCTCCAGCCATGGGAACATTCAATAATTTTATGCTGGCTACAAAGAGTCGAATGATGAGCATAAGTAAATGAAGTTGGATTCGATGCTGATCTATTTGAAATAAAAATATTTTACATGTTCTTTCGATATAAGCTCTCAAAGCGATTTGTGATATTTTCCACATCAGGATCAACATTCTCACGCCTCCAGCATGTAAGAAATGAGATTTAAGTACGACTGGAAAACCTACATCTGGGTTTTCGATTGACAATAGTCCTATGTACTCTTTCAATTCCGTACGGTATCTCTTTTCGTCCGCTTTGCTCCATGTCGGCCAGGAGACCATTCTTGTAAAACGTTTTTCATTGTGTATAGACAATAAATAATGAGACAGATGAATGAAACCAGCAGTATTTGGCTTACTAAACATCCCCTACGAATTTTATACTTTTGTACGGAGCACTTGGCAATTAATTTTGTTCGTTATACGAAGACGTACCTTGACAAAGTATTTCGTACATTCGTAAGACGCAGGCTCGACTTGCATAAGTAAGAAAACGTTCCTGTAAAACGACTCGTCGATGTCCATACTTATTATTCTATAATTAATTCGGACCGATGTATGCTCAAGTAACGTTTACTCGAAGTAAATCTTACTTAAATTCCAGAGGAGGACATTAAAAAAATTGCAACAGGTGTTTGGTAACATATATATATTTGTATACGTAGAAGTAGGATGCTACATCGGAATAATCTATTATACAGACGTGACAGAGAGAGTAAGTACATAAAAGGACGAAAGAGGTGCAGGTACATAATTTATTGAGCGATCATATATAATCGTTGCATTTGGAGCAATGCGATCTGCAATCGTGACGAGCTCACGGCTCGCGTGCGGCGTACGGTTGTGTGATGACTGTGTGCAAGTGCAGAATAAAAACTACATATACATCATCTATATGTATTAGTGACTAGGAACCTGAAGTCAGCCGTCGTTCGGTCAAAGATCTTTGAGGTCGAGTATACCGTAGCAACTCCTGGTGAAAGGTTTCGATACTACTACACAAGCATATACGAGCCAGCGAAGTGTATCTGTCGGACAGTGGCGTGAAAATGGCGGTGTAAAATGGCAGGACGTAGATCGACTTTGACAAATGCCGATTCCTTGTCGGGATCCGGAAACACCGATCCCTTGAGAGAATTGTTCGAGGCCTGCAAAACCGGGGACCTCGCGAGGGTAAAGACCTTGGTCACGTCGAAGACGGTCAATGCTCGAGACACTGCCGGACGCAAGTCCACCCCCCTGCATTTTGCAGCTGGTAAGCAAAATTTTTCCAACGACTTTTCTCGTCGCACGCAACCCGGTAGAATTCGTTGGTCATTCCGATAGTTTCTCCGTTTCGTCATCCTTTGCCAAACGCGTGCCATTCCGTTTCTACGTCGTCAACCTGAAACGTTCGTGAGCTCTGATTTTCATTGTTGTCATTCGACGGTTTAAACGACGATCTTTCAAAATTTAATGGGACATCAAGATCGTGATCTGCTCTTTAAGCATCTGCAGTCTTAAACGATCCTCCGATGGTACTGAACACGGTGCCGAGGATCCAGTATCTTTCGCAATACGATTTTGTTCGGTCAGGCAATTTTCTATTTTAATCGACAGGCTATGGTAGGAGAGATGTAGTAGAATTTCTACTCTCTGCTGGAGCCTCCATCCAAGCGAGGGACGACGGAGGATTGCACCCCTTGCATAACGCGTGTTCTTTCGGACATTCTGACGTTGTAAGACTTCTGTTGGAAGCAGGAGCTAATCCTAACACCAGAGACAATTGGAATTACACTCCTCTGCACGAAGCTGCGATCAAAGTATGAGTTCTGCATATCTCCCCAAGTCGGTTCACGTCTCGATGAGTCGGAATCTCACCGAATTCTGATTTCCCAGGGTAAAATAGATGTGTGCATCGCTTTGCTGCAACACGGGGCGGATGCCAATATCAGAAACACGGAAGGAAAGACGGCGTTGGAACTGGCCGATCCCGCGACTAAACCGGTGTTAACGGGAGAATACAAGAAGGACGAATTGCTGGAAGCGGCGAGATCGGGAAACGAGGAACGCCTTCTGCAACTTCTAAATCCTTTGAACGTAAATTGTCACGCGAGCGACGGAAGAAGATCCACGCCGTTGCATTTAGCTGCCGGATATAACAGATCCAGAGTGGTGCAAATCTTATTGCAGAACGGTGCAGACGTACATGCGAAGGACAAAGGGTGAGTACTTTCGATCGCGAACTGACCTAGGCTAAAGGCCGGCGGAAATCAGTTTGTTCACGTCGAGGATGTTACAGAGGTCTCGTTCCACTTCACAACGCTTGTTCGTACGGTCACTTCGAGGTGACGGAGGCGCTCCTGAAACACGGTGCGGCGGTCAATGCCAGCGACTTGTGGGCGTTCACCCCGCTGCACGAAGCCGCGAGCAAATCTAGAGCGGAGGTGTGCTCGTTACTATTGAGCGAGGGTGCCGACCCGACTCAATTAAACTGCCACAGTAAAAGCGCCATCGACGTAGCCCCGACGCTGGAGTTGCAAGACAGATTGGCATGTACGTTCACCTCTACCATATCTCGTCCTACTGCTCTTTCCTACGCACGGAACATGATTTTGTTAGATACACTTTAATTGTAGACGAATACAAGGGACACTGCCTCTTGGACGCCTGCAGGCAGGCCGATCTAACTAAGTTAAAAAAATACCTGTCCCCAGAAGTTGTAAACTTTAAACACCCGTACACCGGGGATACTCCGCTGCACTGCGCCGTTGTATCGCCCTATCCCAAGAGAAAACAAGTCATAGAATCTTTGATTAGGAAAAACGCTGCCTTAAACGAGAAAAATAAAGACTTCCTTACACCTCTTCACGTTGCCACTGATCATTCTCATTACGATGCAATGGACGTGCTACTTAGACATAATGCGAAAGTCAATGCTTTAGATGGATTAGGGCAAACTGCGCTACACAGGTACCGTGAATTTGCTCGAACGTTTCAAGAATCTACTTTTTTTTTTTATTTTATAAAGAGAAATTTCATCTCCTTTCCTTTATTTAAAGAGAATGTTGTTGCGTAAACAGGTGCGTTAGAGAAGACAATGTGCAAGCTTGCAGAATATTGTTATCGTACAATGTTGATCCATCTATAGTATCGCTTCAGGGCTATACTGCGGCACAAGTAGCTGCAGAAAATGTCCTTAAAATATTGCAAGGTTCGAAACTGATTCTTCACTAAAGAACGTCGTACGTCCGTTCAATCCAAGAATGAGTCCGTTCTCATTTCTGTTTCATCAGATCCACCGAGCGGAACGGACGATGCCGAGGCTCAGCTGCTGGAAGCGAGTAAATCCGGCGACCTGGCAGCGGTAGAAAGAATATTGCGAACGAATCCGTTGGCCGTCAATTGCCGTGATCTGGACGGTCGGCACTCGACGCCGCTGCACTTCGCAGCGGGTTTCAACCGAGTGCCCGTGGTCGAGTATCTGTTGGCACACGGGGCAGATGTACACGCCAAAGACAAAGGGTTGGTCGTTTGTCTCCTCTGATCATCTGTCTTCTATCGACGTGCAGCAATTGAAAAGTACGTTTCATTGTTCGGTTTTAGTGGACTCGTTCCTTTACACAACGCTTGCTCCTACGGTCATTACGAGGTAACGGAATTGTTAGTGAAACACGGGGCATCGGTGAACGTCGCGGATCTATGGAAGTTTACCCCGCTTCACGAAGCTGCTGCCAAGGGAAAGTACGAGATAGTCCGGTTGTTATTGAGACACGGTGCGGACGCAACTAAAAAGAACAGAGACGGGGCGACGCCTTTGGACTTGGTGAGAGACGGCGATCAGGACGTCGCCGATTTATTACGAGGGAACAGCGCGCTTCTGGATGCAGCGAAGAAAGGAAATCTGGCAAGGGTGCAGCGACTGGTTACGCAAGACAATATTAACTGTAGAGACGCGCAAGGACGTAATAGCACTCCGCTGCATTTGGCCGGTAAGGCCCGTTTTTCTCTTCTTATCTCTTCTCGTTGTCGTCTTCGTAGTTCGCATAATTTGATTTTTGGTAATTTGAAATGCAGCGGGATACAATAACTTGGAGGTAGCCGAATTTTTGCTCGAACGCGGGGCGGACGTAAATGCTCAGGACAAAGGAGGATTGATACCTCTGCACAACGCTTCGAGTTACGGTCATTTGGACATCGCCGCGTTGCTCATTAAATATAACACCGTGGTGAATGCTACCGACAAATGGGGTTTTACACCGCTTCACGAAGCAGCGCAGAAAGGCAGGACGCAGCTGTGCGCGCTTTTACTGGCGCACGGCGCCGATCCTTTCTCGAAGAACCAAGAAGGGCAAACTCCTTTGGATCTCGCTAGTGCCGACGATGTAAGATGCTTGTTGCAGGACGCGATGGCTTCGCAGCAAGTAGTGCCATCGATACCGTCCGGTAACAACAGCGTCGGCGTCCCCATTAACTTGAACAGTAATGGGAACAACACCGTCAACAGTAGGCCACCCAGTATCGTTGCAAGTAAAGATCACGAACGAGATGTTACGCTTGCCGACGAAAGTTAATTACTATAGATATATTTATCGTTGAAATTTGATCAGTTCCAGTTACGCCGCCGCCACCGCTCACCCAAGAAACCGTGATAATGCCTTCCGGGACGGCGATGACACTGTGCGTGCCGCTTGCGAGACCGTCTTCCTGTCTGAGCCCTATGCCCCCGTCCGAGATGTGCGAACGGGATCCCAAAGATCCTAAAGATAGCTCGAACATCACGACCGTCGCCAGCTTCCTACAAAGCCTCGGTCTGGAGCATTTGCTGGAACTGTTCGAACGCGAGCAAATCACGCTGGATATATTGGCTGAGATGGGTCACGAGGATCTGAAACAAGTCGGAGTGTCCGCGTACGGTTACAGACACAAACTGATCAAAGGCATGGAGAAGCTCTTGAACACGACCGCCGGTACTCCTTGGCAACCGACCATCACCCCGGGAACGCTGTTGGTAGATCTGTTAGCGGAAGACAAAGAATTCCTGGCCGTTGAAGAAGAGATGCAGAGTACCATCAGGCAGCACAGGGACAACGGCCATTCCGGTGGTATATTCTCGCGGTACAACATAGTCAGGGTAGGTTCGTCGAATCAGAAGGCAGTTTTATTATCGTAGAAGGTTTTTATTGATTCTTGCGACTCTTCGAGAACAGATACAAAAGGTACAGAATCGGAAGTTGTGGGAACGATACGCGCACAGACGGCAGGAAGTCGCAGAGGAAGTTGGCGCGGCAGCACCTTCCTCCCCGAGCACCGGGTCCAGGACCACGCCCGGATCGAGTTTGCCGCAGGCGAATGAGAGAATGCTGTTCCACGGTAGCCCATTCATCAACGCGATCGTTCAGAAAGGGTTCGACGAACGACACGCGTACATCGGTGGCATGTTCGGCGCAGGCATTTATTTTGCCGAACACAGCAGTAAGAGTAATCAGTACGTTTACGGGATATGCGGAGGCACCGGATGTCCCGCCCATAAGGATCGAAGTTGCTACATCTGCCATAGGTCCGTACACAGACGCGTACACGACGCCCGAAATGAGAATCGAATTTCGTTGTCATGCGTTCAATACATTTTTGTTCACAGGCATTTATTGCTCTGCCGCGTTACGCTGGGAAAGTCGTTTTTACAATTTTCGGCGATGAAAATGGCACACGCGCCCCCGGGACACCACAGCGTGATGGGCAGACCGTCCCAAGGCGGCCTAGCTTTCCCCGAGTACGTCGTGTACAGGGGCGAGCAGGCGTATCCGGAGTATCTCATCACATACCAAATCGCGAGACCTCAACAGGAGAGCGGCGGAAGCGAGAACGTGGAGGAACGGTGATCAGAAGCGTCTAGCCCAGCGGCAAGGTTGCGGAGTCTTTGTTGCTGCCAGAGACCACGAACGTGTAACACTCTCTCTTAAACCTGATCTACACAAATGACGGTTTCATATTTGAAATCGAATCTTCCATTTTTTATCTTCTTTAACACGAAGTAGGAAATGTTCGGATGTATTTACGATTCTAATAATGGTAGGTAAATTTTATCGATATTATAGCGTATGTTTACCGAGTCTATTCGTTCGAGGTTGATAAAAATAGAACGAAGACGGTTCAACGGACATAGGTCATTTAATTTTTAGCATTTATTTTGTGATAATGTACAGGTCAGGTTCGACCACGTGATCGTATGTATGCCTGATCATTGATACACGTCGAGTACAGTGTATATATCGGTGTAAACTAAAATACATCGGAGACCAGCATCGTTTTCTATGGAAATCTACGTGTCGACGAACGTACGTTCATGTTTATGGTTGTACGTTCGCGCGAGCGCTAACATTTAGATTGTCGCGTAAGTCTCGTTGGAGGGACGACGTGGTATCTCCACGTCTGTGTCAATTCCGAACAAGTTTCGGGTTACAGGTAAAGTCCCCAGGGGCAGATATTTAATTTGTATATAAGTAGATGTACGTCGTAAGCCTTCGTAATATGCATAAGCACAATTCGCAGTCGACGTCGACGATCGATCGATCGATGTAGTTTAACGATCTTCCTAATAACTGCGGGACGACTCGATCGAGTCGAACGAAAAATGATTCCGTTCACGATAGACCGACTCAATTGATTAAATACAACGAATGGTATTCTATTTAGTATTCGCATATTTCGCACAGTCGATTCCTCGTTCCATTTGCATCAAATCCAAATTTACTCTTCGCTTTTTGAAAAAAGAACTTCGGACTTTACCTTTAACTTACTGTGTACATAAATAGTTGTGCGAGTATTCGGTTGATATTTCGGGCATGGAATAAATTAATTCGTGTCGTCGACGTTATCAACAGGGTTCCTATAAACTCGTAGTAATTCCGAACAATGTACATAAGTAATATACCTTTTATCGTATTGTACGTATACTCTTCTCCTCGTTTCAACGAGGCGCATCGTAATTACATTCGTATCGTTCTCTTTTTTTATTATTACGCGATGTACGAGTTTGGACTTACTCTCTCAGGTGATGAACCAAGCGTCCATCGTGTCACGCTTTTCCAATCAGTTTTCTTTTTTACCTCGAGCGTACACCCCCTGTTTCATTCGGATACACAACGAACCTACTCATTTCTTCCACGTTAAAATTATATTAACGTATGAACTGATCGACTCATTATTCATTTCGTACGTTTTATTATTTTACGATGGACGCAGTGCTCTAAATACGAAGCTGTACGTTCTCATCGTTATCTATTGGAATCGCTGATTTCGTACGTTTTATTACTTTACGATGGACGCAGTGCTCTAAATACAAAGCTATTCTCATCGTTATCTATTGGAATCGATTCGTTTAAATGATAAGAGTGATCTTGGTACGCGTTCGGTACGAAAGCTGTGTCTCGAAATACTTAGCGAGTAATTGGAAAGAATGGAAAAAAATGAGAAATGAGTTTGCGAATTTCCAGTTGTATCGTGCGTGCGATGTACGAGGAAACTGATAACAGTGTTAACGATTATTTAGGTGACGGTTTTTATTTATGGGTGTATATATCGAATATGTGTTCGTTTAAATAAGTGCTCAAGAAACCGATGCAACAAATCAATCATTTGTTAATTCTGCGCTCTTACACACGAAGACACGAAGTAACACGAGTATTGTAAACTAACTATATATATATATATTATATATATACTTGTAATTTTGACGGTCAACGAGCGTATCCGACTCGCTATGCTTTTTGGCCGAAAGAAGATAGACTGATTCTAAGAAAGGAAAAAAAAATCGTTTTACTGTTAAGTCCGATTTTATTCTTTCTTTTGTTCAGTTTCGTTCTGCCTTACGCCCGATCGCGACGATCAGACGAGAACGTCGTTTAAATCGCGAACGATGAAACGGGGAAACGCGTTTGCTCTTTGGGGTAGCGATCGCTCGACGTTTCGCAGCTCGTCCTCGGATGTATCAGGTTTTCGTTTGTCATCCGTTGCTCCATACCTGACAATAGACTCAACGGAGCGCGCCGAAGTACAATAGAAACTTTTACGTTGAAGAAATGCAACGTAGTGTCTCGTTACCAAGGAAGCCCGTTTATAGCCGCGTGTTTTAGACAACGATGAAAAAATTAATGATTCCGTCTTATTTCCTTGTTACGTACACCCATAGAAAAGCGCGTACCGTCCGGGTACGGGTAGTAGTTCAAAGGGATACGAATCGTCCACGCTTGCATTCGGTCATTCTGCGCGCGGTGACAATCGTCATTCGACTAAGGACTAAAGGACTTTATTGCAGTTTCTGCCGTACGATTTTTCCCTGTGACCATCGGTTTTCCCCAAGGATCGTTTTAGGGAAAAGTCACGTATGAGCCGATACCTGACGAGTCGTTTTGCCGGTGCCCTTTTCTTTCACGTCCATTGGGTCGTGGTGCCTCGGAACAGAGCAACACGGGGTGTAAAAGAGTAAGAACAAGAATGCGAGCACGTGGAACCGTCGGCTTTCTGATTCGTGGGACCGTCAAAATCACGTGAAACGCACGAGGCTGCAGAGACGCATGCGCTGCGGCGGAACGCCGGTTCTTCGGCGACGTGCCGTCGTGCCGTCGTCGGATGACACTCGATGCCGGTGCTTTCAGATGCAGTTGAAACGACGAGGAGATCGGATCGCGTAAATCCGCGACAGCTACGGCAACGACGGGGGTACAGAGATATATCTGAAATTCAACACGAACTCCACGGAATTAAAGTCCGTAAGTGTCGTATAAAAAACGATAATGAACGAAGACTCGTGACATATAAAAAGTCGCGATGCACCGCGCCGGCTTTCACTACGCGAAAACTGTCCGTCCGTCGTTCTTACGACCGGTAATTCAATTAATATTCGCACCGTACGGTTTCGTTCGCGTTACGGTTTCGTCTCGTTTTTAAACCACCTTCTCGAGAAAAGAATCAGATATCAGCGTACCATCGCGAGATGTGCCCGTTCCGATCGTCTTAAAGGACGATTTCCTGCAATTTCACCAAGTCTATCGAACTTTGAGAACAGTTCGTCATCGGTGAAGTCCGGGCGAAAAATCTCAAGGAGATCACCAAAGACCGAGGAGATCGTCGAAGAGGAGGGAAGATTCAAGACAAACTCGAACCTGAGGACGAGTACCCGCTCGAACAGAATTGCCTCTTCGGTTTCGTTCCACTAACCAGTGGCACGGTTCTACGGTTTAAAAACAACGTAAGTGTTCCCATTCAGTTTTGACAAACCTTTCGAGCCGTCTCCGATTAAGGAGCACGTTCGAACGCACGTACGATCAATCGACGACGGCTCCCACGCTAGTTCGGGGACGATTTCTTATGTAATTCGAGGGCACGGAATTACACAATTGGCTGCAGTGCCGCTGATGCAGGTACAACGTTCTCAGATAATGTTCGTTTGTAGCTCCGTCCTAGAGACGGACAGGGAACGGTGACACGTTATCGTTCACGCGAACCAGACTTCTATGTTTACAAACACGTTAGATAACGTCTGCGGGGGCAAATCTATGATGCGATCTATTCGATTATGATTCTTCCACGATCGTCAGATTATTCGCCGAAAAACGCTAGATGAATGACGCGATTAGAAACTGCGAACGGGACATTTAATTGTATGTACGAGGTACATACGGTGACGGTAGCCGGCATCGTTTCGCCGATACCTTCGACTCACGCCTCACGGACGCGAACAGGGGCGAACCCGTTGCCAAAGATTATTTATAAATAATTAGATCAGACCGCTCTCGAACGGAGCATTTCTAGAGTTTCTACGCCAACGCGCACTGTTTGGCGAGACACGTGCTCACGATAAACGACCTAAAAAATGACGCGATATTCGCGTACCCAAGGGGAGATGAAAGCGGGAACGGTCGCAAAGACTGAATCTGCGCTTCAGAGAAACGCTTTTATCGTGGAACAAAGAAAAGAAATTGACGCGACACCGATCAGTAGTTAGCGGCCGGGAAGAACGTTATTAGCAACGTTTATTGTTTAATCTCCGACGTTTTAAATGATGCGACGGAGGGATCGATCGGCTGGCTCCTGACCTCGCGACAACCGAGACAATAAATAAATATTCGTTCCACGGCTCGGGTTTTTCGCGTCTTTATTTCCGGCGGTTCGGTCGAAACGAGCTTGCCGTATGTACGTAGGAGACGTAACGCTCAAGGCACAGAACCAATCGAATCTACGACAAACATCTAGTGCCGATTTATAGGTTTAAAATAACGGGTAGACGTTGTCTCGCAAGGATCGTGTTCTTCGGTGTTCGTTAACCGATTTCTTCTCGTAACCGGCTTGACTGCTCTTTTAAAATGCATTTCATTCGTTTTGCTCGGTGCCCCCGCACCAGGTACTCGCGTTTTCCGGTCACTCGTCCCTCGTTTGACGCCTACTCGGAGACGGTCGCGCGAACGCAAGATGAATCGTTTGCACGTGTCATTCCCACGCGTGGAGCCACGCCACTTCCGGAGAAAGCGCGGGGCTGCAGCGTAGAGAAAACTATGCGTCCATTTATGTATGCACGTTCCACGGACCCCCTATGAACTTTTCCAAACCGCTGAAAATGATCAGCCACGTTTCGAAGGGAACGAGCTCGTGCCTTGTATCGCCTACCGTCGTTCGCACGGTACAGTTTGTCTCTCCTTCGCGTCTCACATGATCTTTCGTCGCTTTGAAAGAACAGCCACTACATATTTTAGGTATTAAACTGATTCTTGAATTCGCGAGTCGCTCACGTTTCTCTCGAGGTCTAACGTGTCCCTATGTAAGGCAGATCAGTGTCGCGTCCGAGGTTTCGCGTTCGCAGCTGTTACACTCGTTCCGATTTCCGACCGGTCCGTCACGGAATCGATCGATCCTATCAAAATGCCCATATTTTGGGGGCCGTCCGCTGTTCGAGGTGAAACGTGGCTCGAATTCTACGCGAAGAGACAGGCGTTCGCATTACGCGATTTATGCACCGTTCGTACGTCGGTGTATCGACCTCACGCGACTCAATCGTTCCACATATAAAGTGAGCGAGAGTCAAAAGGCTATCGCCGTACATACAAGAATGCATACGTCTCTTTAAGTCGAAGTAATTGCCATGTTCTAAACGCGGCACGACCTTATCGAATGCGTAAATTTAGAACCGTATATCGCGCATAATTTTAATAGAGTCGACCGTGATAGTTCGCGCATCACCTTCGCTCGTCGCTTATCGCGGAAAACGAAGTCGTTCAAATAATTTTACATGCGAAACATTTGTTTCGTCGAGATCGAGTGCTTATCGGCACTCGAAACGATAAATACTTATTGTTAATACCATTTGTTGTCGTTGTATCTACTTATCGCGATCCACCGTTATCCGCCGCGATAAGACTCGGAGATTCGCAGAGTTCTTAATCCGCCGATTCGGAGAAATTGGTTCGCCGCCCTCGTGCGTTTCGGCACGCAGTTCGTCCTCCTCTCTGCTTTCAGTCAGGCGGCACGATCCGATCGCGAGTCTCGCGCGTGCGCACGCGACTCTTTATGGTTTTGGCGATTAAACTTTGTCCGGTAAGATTCCGCGGCCGAGGGTGTTCAGCCGGCAAGGATATGTCGGTTATCGGGCTGCTTCGAACCAGAAACTGTCGAGCGATAACGACCCTGAGGACCGATCTCAGCAGCCTCTCTCGATCGCTTAAAAATACCGATCCCCGGGAACTTCTATGGTAACGGGTCGCCGACAGATCGTTCGATAGAGATTTTTAGAAAAATCACGTGCGCGGTTAGTGGCTTGGTCGGACGGTCACGTGATGCGTCGTGAAAGTTTTACGAGCCTCGATTTTGTACGGGACGTTCGTTTACCAAAGGTTGAACGACTCCCGTTCCTTTCCGTGGACAGAGATCGACTATCAATGTAATTTCATTGGATCGTCCGTCTTACAATTAGATGTTTTCTCACTTTGCCGTGTACGATCAATCGGTCATTTGTCATTCGGCGCGCGTTCTCTCGAGCAAAAGACTGTTCAAGGATGAGATCGGGATTAGCACATATTTTCCAAGGCTGTTCTTTAACGACACGCAGCCGCGTGTTTCGCGATAGAGCCGTGTGCTATAAAAAGAAGATATTCAAATTTAGCCAACCGGTTTCTACACGGGCTCTCACGTATGATATGTACATAAGCGCACGGTTCTTTACTCCTCTTTCCCCGTCTTTCTCCTGCGGCACGTATTCGCGAACGGTCGCGAAAAATCTTTTAGAACCATTACGCGAAAGCAAACGACTCACGATAAATTTCTAATGTTTACTCGACTACGTAAATCCTCTCGAGGAACATGTACGGTAATTCAATTCGCCGAACGCGTCGATAAAACACGTCGAAAGAATCGAACGAAACTTTTAACATCGAGTATTTTTAGTGACGCCTCCGTGGCGATGAACTCGTCTACGTCTAGTCGTTGTCGTAGGTCGGGAACGCTCGAAGGTTTCGAAAGCGGTCGTTCCTCTCGGTCCCCCGTCCGAAGCTGCGCGCATCTTTACATCGAGCTCCCGTTATCGATTTATCACGTTACACGACGGTTTGTCCGAGAATCGGTGTAACGTCGTTAAAAGAACCTGAACCGAACCTGCCTGAGAAAACATCGAAGCCGACTTTTCACCGACGTTTCTCCCCGACGATCACCTCCCAGGCCCGTTTCTCTCGTTGTCGATAGAACGAAATGCTTTTTATGCTAACGACGTTCGTTTATCAGTCATCGGCCTGAAGCCAATGTTTCCTATTAGAAGAATTTTTCGAAAACGTACTACGAGTCAAGGACTCGCGTATATATACCAGCTTTATCGAGATTAGTCATAGTCTAGTTCTGCGAGTGATCCCCAATGACCCGCGATCTCTTCGTATCGCGGATCGACAGTGATTAACGACGAAAGGAGCCAATTTTATTATAATTGAAACGGTCGCGTGCGACCGCATTACTTTTCATTCGTCGGATAACGCAATTTCCTCACAGTTACAATCCTTGTCTGACGGGCATAAAAAATAATACGCCGACGCGTGTCTCATGGCGCTTCTTCGATCTCATTTCGACTCGTTCACGGTCGCGTCGCCGACTTCCGAATCCACCGGAAAAACGCTAGTAAATTCGGCGGTGCGATTTTGAATCGCGTCGGTTCGAACGAGATACTTACTAGACGAACGCGGCGGGGACGAAAAAAACAGAAACGTGGATCGGGTTACCTTTCGATCCACCGGGACGGTTATTTTAGGTGACTGTCAGCCGGTGACCAGACGCCACGAGCCGACGTCGTTTTGTATACGCACGTGTGTGCGACTACATTCGGATCTCACGCGGTTCTTACCGTGCGTCCCTTCCGAGTACCGAGTCTCGAGCGACGTACGGGACCGACGCGGATCCGCGCCGGACGGACCCACCGCGAACAGTGCGGCTCCAGCGTTACGGTCGTTCGCTCCGCGCTTTCGGGTCGGTAAACTTTTCGACTCGGAAATGCAACTCCGACGGTCCCTTCCCTTCGGCGAAAGCTCACGTGCGTCGGACAGCTCCGCGACCTGTATTTATTGAGAGATGATCAACGATCGTTCGAACGTTCGCACGGGACCACGAGCGCGTTCGTACGGTTGGACCGGTTCCAAGGGCGTTACGCCGAAGATGCGCGATGCTAATTTTGTCCGCGGTACCACTCGAAATAGCACCGCGGCTGCGTAATTTTCTTCCTTTTCTCGAATCACGAACCGTGAACGTGTCTCGTCCATGACGAAATCGTCTGTCCAAACTCGCGACTCTCTTCTGATCTTTTTACTGGACGATGCGTTCTCCGATTAGCCGTGTCGAACGGCTAATTATATACGCGTAAATCAATGTGGAGAGCGTGGGTCAACGCCGGACGGTTTATCTCGACGGCCTTTCGAAAAAAGTGGAAGAAGCGCAGATAGGGAACAGTAAAATTGAAAGACGGTTCGATCTGGGTTAAAAAAGGGAGTCGGTCAGGCGTTATCGCGGTCGCGTCGCGTCCTGTGCAACGCGATTCACGATGGCTCGTCGCAGCACCCGTCGAATTATGAAACGGTGCATCTCGTATCGTCTTGAGCCCGATATACGTTATCCGACCTGTGCAACGCCTCTTTTTATGCTTCTGCCGCCCACAAGAATAGATCTTTCTCGTCGTCGGACCGCTCTTCTTTTTTGCACGCGGTTCGTTGGTCAACAGTTTTACGCAACGGATTACATCATTTTGCGAGCTTCTCGCGCAACGATTTTCGACCGTCTACCAGTCGGTCGCGTGACTCGAATTTTCCATTCATACATAAACATCGTGAGTCGTCGATCGGTCAACGCGAGATCTCCTATAATCTTTCGTACTGCCCTTCTTTTATGGTTTCTGTTTTCGTGGCTCGAGCCGCGAACGGCGGATCCGTGTGACTTCGCGTACGTCGCGGGTTTTTTGCGCTCGTCAATCGACCTCGAGAGGTTTGGCGCCTAGATGTAGCAGAGATTTACATTCGTATCGATACGTATACATACGTAATTATGCACGTCACTCTCCTCAAGATTACCGTCCGCACTCGACGCGATCGCGATAAAATATGATACGTGTGTTATCGAAAAAATTCGAACATTCGCGTCCAGATCGAAGAAGCGTTTAGCGTGCTCGAGAAAAAAGTCTCGAGTCACGTTATCAGCCGACCACTTTACGTTAAACGCCGAGATGGCGGACGACGGGCCGCGCGACGAATCTCTTAATCCAGGCGCACTTAAAACCGCGATGCGCCGATTCAATTTTGTTTTTCTGAGATCGATCGGTTTATCGGAGGAACGCGATGCACAACCGTTGCGCAATAACTTGCGAGAGTTCGACGAGAGATCAATGACGACTGGAAAGTTTCGCTTCTGCACGCGAATGCCATAGTATTGTCGCGGTTGTACGTGCGGACTCAGGTCCACGAGTTAGCGGGAGACGAGTGTTTATCGATAAATGCGAGACAAATAAGATAGTCGTAAAAATGGAATCGCGATTCGAAAACGTCTCCGGCACGGGTAAATGAGATAAACGTTCCGTCGCTCGGTTCGTCTCCACTTCTTTCACGGTCCAAGGCTTCTTTTTGCAGACTGTAAGTCTTGACCCTGGGCACCTCGTTCGCGTAACGATAAATAACGCTGAAAGAGTTCGCATTGACCTCGACCCTTTGTTATTCGTTATACGCAACGTTGCATTTTTCCTTGGCGCCACATTTCTTCGTAAGGCCCGGTACTCACTTGTGCAACGGCCGCGTGTATGCGTTTAATCGTCTACGGATATCGGACTCTCGTGATATAACGAGCTGCGCGTCGATTAGAGGAACACGCGACTCCGCGAGGAAGATCGAAATTTAGTCCGCGAGGAGGAGGACGGCGACCGGCCGTTGCCAACGACGTTGACGATGGAAATTTACCAGGGATGGAAATAGTAGATGAATCGCATAAGTACATTCAAGTGGCTCCAACGTCCGATTCTCGATGCGGCCGCGACATTTTTCAGTCGTGTACGTGTACCGCGTAAATACACAGGTACACACGTACTCGTTTGGTTCCGGTCTGGCGTCGAGTCTGGTTCGCGAGCGAGCGAGCCTCGAGGGACGAGAGAAGAAACTACATATTGCCACATTTAAAAGTAGTAATTCCACTCTCGGAGTAACATGACCACACGCGCCTTCCTATCCTGACGCGCAAAAGGCTTTTGCGCGTCGCGACAGACGACGTAGCCGATTTTCATTCGACGTCGCGTCGGTCTCGCGTAATTCAACGATTACTCAACAGTCGGGACGTTAAACAGAATTTATCAGAATTATCAGTATCCAACCATTCGTAAAGACATGTTTCAAGCGAAATCATCGTCTCTTCACCCAACGAGGAACGTTCGACGACGGGTGTTCGTCGATCGAGTCGGTTTCTAGGAACGACGATGAAATTTCATTGATGAACGGAAACAGATCCCAGTTGCCCTCGGGCAACTGTCTACTCGTCATTGCCCGCGTCACACGACTCGCGAATCGCGTCCTGACTCAGAACGATTCACGTAACGCCTACTATACTTAACGTCGACGAAATCGTTGGCGACGAATCGCCCACGTTTCTCGCTGTGAAAGGTCGTTCAGATTGTAGACACTTTCGAGCGACGCTGAGTCTAGATTCACCAGTGAGCTCGGTAAAGACTCTGCGAGTAATGTGCGCGCAAACGACGGAGAGCGTCCGGAATTCCTCGTTAATCTAGACGGTGTTCCTCTGTTCCAGATCTAAATGTGTTCCATAGCGATGCCCGCCGAGCTGCTTCTGGGGCACAGTCCTCCAGTGTACAGCTCGCTGCTGTACAGTCCCCTGGTGGTAACGGCACCGACGATCACCAGCAGGTCGGTGCCGCCCAGGATAAGGCCGTGTCTATCGTCCGGTTCCTTGGCCATCAACAGCATACGAAACACCAACGATGGCTGTGGCAAACAGAAAAAGAGGGTGGTCTTCGCCGACGATCGTGGACGTCCCCTCACTCAGGTACTTCATCTCGCGAGCCTCTTTCCAGCTGCGCACTTGATCGTGAAAGGAAATAAAACGACCGCGTCTCGCGACGCAGGTTCCTCCGTCGACTAGCCGTTCACGATCTTCGAAACTTTCCAACGGCGATGCGTTTCGTACGCGCGATTTCGCCAAACGTAAACGACGAAGAAAATAAATGGATCTTTCTATGCCTTCTTAGGTTCGCGTGATGTCAGAACCGAGCAATGTACCGCCTCTATGGAGCACGGCTTATCTCGCTGGGCTGACCGGACAACTTCTGAACACAAAGATCGAGAACGAAACGACGGAATCAGCATCACCCTGGCAGGTGACATTTCCGCAACCGGCGAGCGATTACCTCGCGTTCCGTCGGAAACTCGATCAGGAGAACGTCAGCCTCGAGAACGTGATAGTGAAAGAGTCGGAACAGTGCCTGATCGGCACCGTGAAGGTGCGTAATCTGGCGTACGACAAGGAAGTCGTGGTCAGGGTAAGCAGCGATGGATGGAAAACGCACGAGGACGTGCATTGCACTTACGTCGAGCAGCCCGGAGCACCGGCGCTGATCTTGTACGACACCTTCCGCTTCCGACTGACGCTGCCGCTCAGATCGAACGTGATCGAATTCTGCGTGCGATACCGCACCGACGGGAAGGAATATTGGGACAATAACGAGGGAAAGAACTATATCGTTCGGAAGAAGTACGAGGTAAGCGCGATGTGTTTCATCGCGTGTTCTCCGCAATGATGATAAAAAAGACGTGGTAGATGTAATTTTTATTATAGCCGCGGGCGCCGCCGAAGAGATACGACATCCTGACGACGACGTGCGACGGTTTCTCGAGCAACGGCGTCCGAGAAAGTATACCGCGGATCACGGACGCGGCTAGGGCGAACGTCCGGACGTGGAGCGAATTCGCGTCCTGGCAGCATCTCGCCAACGACGCGCCGTACTGGTGAACACCAACGAGCCTCGAAACGATGTACGAAAATCGTACGTATTCTTCCGAATCTGCTCGATTCGACGATCGCGAGACGAGCGGATCACGCGGGACCAGGTGGCATCGGATCGCGATGAAGCTCGTTACATGCGTGCGATCGCGGGCGAGAGTGCGTCGTTTGCAGAGGAGGCCGGGCGTCTGGAAGATGGAAACGGAGAAGAGAGAGATGGGAAGCAACGACGGAGTACGATCGAATCGTATGTCGTGGAAGGACACCGGTCGCGCGGAAAAGAGACGTGTTGGATCGGAGGTCGATGGCGCGGAACGAGCGAGAGAGGAGGCGTACCGGTCGTCGCATTACATTTACGGTAAGTCGACGTCGCTTCTAGCAATTTTGCATTACGTTCATACACAGATCGTTTCGCGTCGCGTTTTCTCGATCTTTGATCGATGGCCGATCGTTCGTCCGAGCGTTTTAGGCGCTCTTGTGTCACGCGGCAATACGTGGGCCAAATGACCAACGAATTTATCAGTGATCCTCCGGTATCGAGCGTTGAGGTGAAACTTTCGCGATGCTATGTCGAAAGACCGTAATTCAGTTTACGCGCTGGCGGCACGCGCGTATTTTTTCAATGATCGAAACAGCACCGTCGAACGGACGAGAGAGAAACGTCGGATCGTCACTACCGCCGGCGCTTCGCGAAGGACGTAATTTCATGGCTCGCGAGGTAGTCGAAAATTTGCATGAAATCAGCAGGAATGGCCCGACGGGAATCTTTTCTCCGTCCTCGTGTTCGCAACGTGTAAAACTTTCTCTCTATAAATAACAATCTGGCTTGGTGCTACGATAACAGCCGCGACCGTCGGAGTCGCCTGACTCCTAATCGCCTTAACTAAAGGTTGTTACCACGCCGCGCCGCGCCGTTTCTCCGTCGTCTTCGTTCCTTTTCTTCTCCTCGTTCGTTAAGCTGGTTTCATACGCGGTCAGAACCAGAACACAGATTTATATTAGCTGACACAGATATATCTTTTTGCTCTTGGTCTTTACGGCCACGACGAGAAAACGTGTACCTCTGCTTAATAATCCGTTCTCCAACGTCCAACGTGCATCCATTGATTTACGATCGAAACGCATACCACCTGAACGTTTTCAATGCTTCTCCAATACGTTTCAATATTAAATTACCGAACCGTTGAGACCGTCGTTGAACGAACGAACGATCCCTGCTTCGCGTAGTCGATATTGTGAAAGCATCCTTATGCCTCGAGGTTCACCGTCGGAGGACACTTGACTCCGTCGCGTCGGGTGCGAATGAACTTCTTTCGGGTCACGCGAATCTAATCAGAGATACTGCTATCGAGAAATTAGTCGTAGTTAATCCGTAATAGCTAAAAAAATGTTCACGTTCTTTTCGCTCCTGCCTCGCGATCGGTCGATCGATCGAATCGCAATTCATCGTTCTCTTGCGTGTTTACGCTCATTATGCAAACGTCGGATACGTCGAGTAAACACGGAAAATAACGCTTAACGATGCAGAATTCTCTTGGAACGTTACGTGACTCATTGGCGCCGGTTAAAAATTATTTAATAATAATTTGCGTCCTTCCCGCGTTTGCGTGTACGACTTCTAAATGCGCCTCGGCCATGGCGATTCGAGGGACCGTGCCTCGAGCACTTTATTATAGATCGCGAATGATTTCATGGTCAAAAGAATAAGTGGCCAAATCCTTGGCCTACTGCCAGTCGTTCCGTCGGACGGCAACTTCCACGTACATATTGGCGTCGAGTACGTGCTTTAGCTAATGTTACGTTGACAGCAGTTCGGTTTCTTGATTCATGCGAAACGCGATCGAGATAGACGCCATGTTTAATTTGGCCGCGGATGAGTACGACCTTGCGAAATCCTCGTCCACGCGTGTTGACCCATTTAGAGGGATGGTCGAACGTCGTTCCATATCGTCACGGAACAAATTGGAACGAATCATAGACGTTCTTCGGGCAGATCGAAATAGCCCGATGACCAACGGCTGTAAAAAATATTCAGTCCAAGGCTGTTGGAATCATAGAAAGATTCCTCCAGCGTCGTCGATCGACATTCGAATTTCCATCGTTATCGAGTATTCGTGGTGGTACGACGGCGCGCTCCTTACCGATTAGATTATTTATTAACGTTCTCCAGCGGTGAACGAGCGGCCCGAGATTTCTTTCGAGTAGAACGTACGATTGTACTTTACGTTGTACAATGTAAAGTGCACTCATACACGCTCCCGCGTACCGGTCGAGGCGTGGTCGAAAAGCGGCGGCACAGGATCGTATACTATATCGTCGCGCGTTACAGTCATGCCATACCACGCCTCGTGAGCTCTGTAAAAACTTTAAGACGTCTAGACGGTGTGGGCCGACCGGATAATCTCGGCTCCCTGCACCTCGCGGCCGCCGGTCGAGTCGTTCACATCGCGCCCGTGTCTTCGAAGCTATGCAATTTTTCATTGGCTCGCCGATGCAAAAACTACCGCCGGTTTAGGAACTTGACAGAGATCGTTTCACGCGTCAGCGATCGTTCAAAGGAAATATCAACTAACGATAACAGCTATGGTAAAGATGCTCGTAACGGCAACGACGATTATTCAACGAGCCGTTTGAAGAGTTACGAGTGATTAAACGCGTGCCATTACGAATTCCTCGTTTTATCTGGTCGACTCGTATCGATGAAACGTTAACGTAAACAGCGTAATTTAATTACGTCACCGATCTGATGTCCCGACCTTTGCCACGTACAATAAAAACGTAATTACGAGTGAACGGGATTCTTAAATCATTCAAGTTCACAGAGATTATAAAAACAATTTAGACGCTATAAATATCCGATATGTGCAGATGTATGCACTGATGCGAAAAACATGTTCGTATCGTGAACGCGATACGAGATCGAATCGTCGAAACGAGCAAAATATTTGTTTGATTCATTGAGCCGGGGAACGCGACCGGCCGAAATAACGATCGAGAAGCGGCGGCTCTCGCATCGACGAGCTTCGGGCTTGGCGAACAATTATTCGTCGCGGAGCTGTTACAGAACTTGTTCGTTTCGTTTCAGATTGCAACGTGTGTAGCCACGCAACCATGTGCAAGACAGAGAATCGAGTGCGATAAAGAGAGACCAAGACGCACGAATCAAGGGCTTGCCGAAGGCGTCCGTAGATCGGGGATGATCAGGAACGTCGATGGGTTTTCGTTCAAGAGTGCTTCCCCGAGGCTGCCTGTTCGAAGATCGGCCTGCGTCTTCTCTCGATCGTCGACTTCCTCCTCCTCCTCCTACTCCTCTTCCTCCTTCCTGGAACTTGATCGCCGTCGACTAGGCGACGGAGCGTCCGCTAAGATAAGTTTCCACCTTCGAATCGACCGAATCTCGCCGGTCTCGTCCGTTCCTCTTTCTATCTTCGTTTCTGTACCTTCTCTGCACAGGGTGGACCGACGAGAGTCATCGTCGCCTCGCGGTATCCTCGGAATTTTTTAATATCTTTCGATCGACGGATTTTTTTAATACTAAATTTCATTCGATAGCACTAACGATTTTCGCGCGATCAGAGTCGCATCGTAGAATTCATTTTTACCTTCATGGTTTCATGGATTGAAAGTGGCAATTTTCGTCGATCCACGTCCGTACACCCTCGCTTCTCTCTATATCTATCTCTATCGCCTGTCTTCCTTTGGGTAGTTCATAACTTTTACTCACCACTCACTCACGATCAGTAATATATCTCCTCTTGGATGAGGTGGGTCGAGGGTCTTCTCGGGAACAACGTAATGCGAATAATTACGGTTTGGAACTGCTTTTAAAAAGCTAGGTATACGATACTTGCGTGTGCGAACGGTTTCGAAAGGAACGACGCATCTGGGATAAAATGTACGCGTACCCACTTGCCGCGACACCGACGACATGTACACTTATACGATTTCGCTAAAGACGTACCGAATTGATCGATGTACAAAGATATCGAGCCGGGACAAAAGTATTATGCGTTCGGTACCATAGATTCGACGAGAATCTTACTTTTATCAAGAAGCGAAGTTCCGTGTCATTGTTGTAGCAATTACTTGATGCATGCCGTATCCGCGTGTTTCTGGTTCGCGTGACGCATTCCGATCGTGACCGTTCGAAAACGCGCAACAAGAACGGGGGTTCCAGGTTGCTATTTTACAAGATTGTAATTACGAGAACAAAAAAAAGAACCGTTGCTTCTCGGGGAGCGTCTCGTGTGTACAGAAGATCGCCCGACCGGTGCTGAACTACAATCTGTCCATGTTTCGTTTCCGACGATAGACTTCCGTTCGAACGATGAATAACAAAAAAGAGAGGCCGAAGTTACGCGAGCTCGTCGGTATCAATCCCATATCGGTCGTTATCGTTCGATAAATCGGTCACGAACGCTGGTAGAATCTGGTCGTGTGTCGATCGATAAATTGCTCTATCCGGATACATATTCATGTACGATAAGAATCATTTTTCATTGTTCATTCGATTTTTGTCTATCGGAAAATTGTATCGAGAACGGACTGGATTCGAGTTAGAACGAAGTACGTCCAATCACGTTTATACACCACTTCGACGAACGTAAAGGAAAAATGTTCGCCGGTGTAAAGGGTCGCTGACCCGAGACGGTTTCGACGACAAACACGTCACGTTCTAAGGAACGATTGCTAACGATTTCAAGATGTCTCGGAGTACTCTCATATAATTCGCAAAGAAGCAGTACGTGCCGGAACAATCGACTCGCACCCATGTTTCGATGCCCGACTCTCGGTGCAAATTCTTCACGCGCGCACGTAACGAGATTCGATCCGCTGCTCTCTATTTCTTGCTTTTTTCCTATCTCTCCCACCAAGTACAAAGCGACTGACTATATTATATTTTACTACTACTGTTACTATCGGAGAGCACCTATCGTTGACGATGAGCATACGATAATATTCTTATTGCGACAACACGATGAGGGAGACGCTTACCTCCTCTGCACACTACTCGTGCATGCCGATGTGATCTTTCACGCGTAGCGTACGACTGGTTCGTGCGGACGTTCGTTGTCCTTTGGCCTTTACGCGGTAATTGCGCGTTCAAACAGAGAAGACACCTGTTCAAGAAACGAGATTTTCGTTGCAGGGTCGTTGAGGATGACACGGCGACGAGGAGAAAGGGAGGGCGTCGAGTCGTAGAGTAAACGCCGTGGGTGCAGTTAGAGAAACGTCCGAGAAACTGGGAACCACGGGAAACTCTTTAAAGGGCCGGCTCGCGATCATCGCTTCAGTCGATCTTTCCCTCTAGTACGGTACAGGCAACGTCGTCGATCCCTTCTTTCCATCGCAATAACGGGGCGCCTCTTCGTTCTCATTCACCATCACCCACACTCGCGACGGAACACCCGGTGGACACTTCAGAGCATGTTTTGGGCGCTACGCTTTTCGCAGCCGTCTCGCCGATGATCATCGTTCTTTTTATACATGGTCTTCCGCTTTTTTGACGCATCGACGATTCTCGCCGTTTCACGATCTGTCATCGTAGTCACGCGACTCTTACAGGTGTCGTTGATCGCACCTCCTCTCAGATTCTCGATCCTTGTATTTATTTATTAATCGTTTTTGTACATACAATTTTTTATACGTTGTTGGTCTTCGAAGAACGATGAACTTTTATTTTGGACACGTGCATATGAAACGATTACTGGAGAGTCGGTGACTTCGATGAGATTACATAATAAACGGCGTCATCGTCTGTTCATTCAAGCGTTTATCCAGTAGTTTGTCACTGGACACACATAAGCGATGACTTTGAATCTCCCATTCATACGAGATCAAAGCGAAGACGTCGCGATGCAGATTCAACCTGTGCTCAAAGTGTTCAACGACGAATCAGTCCGTTTTGTACTTAAATCTCCTGTTCAGTCCGTCGTAAATTCGTCGTATTTTTACGTTGTCTCTATAGGCTGCCAAAAACGTTGTTCTTCGTAAAATCATTGACTCGTATTCTAGACAAACGAGATCCGACGTTCTCATTTAATCGCATTCTCATGATCACGCGAATTTCGTTGATTCCAATAATAGCAAGGCGAGACCAATGTTCGGTCTAGCGATCGTTAAACACAACGCATGTATACGTTATAACGTTCCTCTCTGCCATCGTGATTCATCTCCCCCAGCACCGACTCCGCGTACGCTTCGTTCGATCCTACCCTAGCTCGTACCTATTCGATTCATTCCAGATGTTGTACACGTGATCGTTTGCCAATTAATGAATTAAGTCTCGAAAGAATGTCTCGGCGAACGACTGGCTTCGATGATCGTGTAGACGCGTATTATTAACTTTACATCGAACGGGATTAAGCTGAATGAAACGACGGCTCTGTCGTTGCTCCATCACAAAGTGCAATTAGAGCTTTCCTTTTACTCCGTATACGAGCGCAATAGCGATATTTTCTTAATAATATATTTATAGGAACTGATGAAAAGGAGTGCGACGAACCGAACACCACACCTCAGCTCAGAAAGAGCGTTACCGAAATGTTGCGACTGGTGTATCGTGTTCGAATTTTGCGATGGTCGAAGTAGCTTTCGCAGAGGAACGACGAACATCTTTTATCTTTGCCGTATGGTCCTTCGCATCGACGTTCCCCTCGTCGTTCCTCTGCGAAGAAATCAAATCGCGATTCGTTTCGGCCACGCGGGCCGAATGGAAGAATGAAAGTGAAGCAATGATGAGCCGTGTGTTAATGTATGATCGCATGAAAGAAGTTGTTTAAACGCGATGAAATGTAATGCCACGGTCGTCGCGTGATCCGTGGCACGTCGAACACCGGGGCACGAGTTCCCCGTTTTTGGACGAGCGTGCAGAGAACTCGTTCTGCCTACCGTCTCGAGATCGATCGTGCACACGAGTACAGCACGTACGTCACCGTGATTTTTGTCCGTCGAATTATTTTGTAAGGCGTATCGTTGAAGAAAAGAGTTGCGACCACAACATACGTTCTGTACAACGACGCGACGCCGTTCAAGCAGGCATGCACGCGAATCGTGTACTTTGTGAAACAGGAAAGAACGAACGTGAACAAATTTCCTTTTGAGAGCCGTAAGACTGATATCCTAACGCGGAAACACAGAGACTGTATATACATATAATCGTAAGATCGTTTTGCAAGACGCGGGCTTCTCGGGGCTTCGGTAAAACTTGCCCGACGGGTCTTCCTGGTGCCTTTTTCGTCGTCGGTAGACGTACGCGAATTTCGTTCGTTTAATCGGTAGTAAGCGAGCGCGGACCGGTCAAGGACCGGATCGTTTGGACGATGATAAGTTTTACCGAGAGCCTCCTCTGTGCCACGATAACTCCAGCTCCGCCGCTCGTAAAAATTCATTTAAACTTTGCGGGATTGTACAAAGTTCCACTTTCGGACGGGAAACACGCAGTGTATATGTATGTAATCCTCGTTAATCAATCATGTACGCTTCGTCATATTCGTCCCTTTTTTTTATAGATAAAGCGATTATATATTTAGGTATACTTTTTCCTTTAATTTTACCATATCGTAACTCGAGATTAGGTTTTTATCGCATATTATCATTGTTATTATATATCGGTTACTAATGTTTACTCTCGCGAATATCTCGTGCCGCCATCACGAGTCCATTGCATCGAGCGAAATGCGTTATATGTTCATCATCGAATAGCCTAAGACGCTTTGTTCTTCGCGTGTATCGGGTACCGAATTGTATATACAGACAAAATATTTTTAAGCGGGAATCTGTTTTGCGTAAAGTCGGTTTTATTAATTTTATGTATGCACGTATGTATGGTCCTGAGTTAAAGAGAAATGCAACGAGGTCGATGGGGTAGAAAGTAACTGTAAGTTGGACTTCAAAGACCGCCTTTTGGAAGCCGTGTTATCAGATGATTTATATCGAATGGAAATACACATATGAAAAGTTATTATCGAGCATTGATTCTTCCCTTTTCACTTACAATTAATACGAGCAGAGTCCTCGACTTATTCCGAGCTCCCATTCCTTTTGCGTGCACCTGAACTTCCGGACGCATCGTAAATATTAAAAATAGTTCTTCGGAAACCGACGTCAACCGATAGGGAACTTCCAGACTTAAGATTCTGATTTAACTAGCTTTTGTCGCATAAATATAAAAAAATGTGACCTCCTCCTCCTCCTTCTCGGTGACTTCTGCCACCACCAACGTCCGTGTGAAACACGCATGGAGGTGGCGCGGCGTACAAAAGAGATGTTCCGAGGAAGAAGCGAAGCACACAGTGATCGAGCAGAAAGTAGGGAAGTGATCGGGAAACTAATCGTGTCGAACAATGACGCTGTCAGCATCGATAATAGCGTTCTCCCTCCTCGTTAACGGTGCTTTGTTCTGCAACGCTCAGTACGAGGGTAAAGTGGTTCTTTGATTCATTCAATTATTCGTATAGGACGATGATTCGAAATAGCTCGACTGTGATGAATTAATATATATTTTTGAACGTATCACGATTTTTAGGAAGCGACTGCACCGTAGATAAATCACCCGGTATTTGCAAGCGAATCATTGAGTGTCCTTCGGTTTACCAAGAGTTATTGCGGGGAAACCCACCGCGGATGACATGCGGCTACATAAACTTTGACCCTCTCGTGTGCTGTCCGAACGAAGTATCGATAACGATGCCTAATGACATCGATACGAAAAGACCAACGGCGGACTCTCCTACGGAGAATGTAACGCCGACGACCAAGAGACCGCTTGCTGCTGCTGGCGTTGGCGCCAGAGCACGAGCAAGTGAGTAATAGCCCTTTTCCGCGAGCATGCGGGATTTTTTTGTTAAAATATGTATCAACGTTGACGATGTCATTATAGAATGCGAAGAGTTCTCGAGAAGCGTATACGCACTGGTGATTCCGCCTGTCCTGTCGGGCAACCACCGGGAACTGGTGAACACTTCGCTTTGCGCGAGCGTGATCGGCCGCAAGCTGATCGTCGGCGGTAAAAAGGCTGACCCGATGGAATTCCCGCACATGGCTGCGGTCGGATATGGGAATCCCGAGGACGGAATTAAATGGCAGTGCGGCGGCACCCTGATCTCGGAAAGATTCGTCATTAGCGCCGCCCACTGTATTTACAGTCTAAACTGGTAACTGAAATTTGCATTTGAGGTCTTTTTACAAAACGCGTTGATTATAAAAAACTCGATGCGATCAGGGGAACAGCATCGTGGGTCCGAGTGGGAGATCTGAACCTGGAGAGCTCAACCGACCCTGCGAAACCGCAAGATATCCGTATCGTCGAACGGATAAAACATCCGAACTACAAGCGACCGTCGGAGTATCACGACATCGCATTGCTGAAATTAGAAGAAGAGGCGGAGTTCAACGCGTATGTCAGACCTAGCTGTCTACCGTATTCGTTACCGGATTCTGGAGACGATGGCAAGGCCACCGCGACCGGATGGGGCCAGGTCGAATGGGGTAAGTTCGCTGTGTACCCTCTGTTTTTCATTATCGTTTTAACTCGACTCGTTCTTTACTAGCTGGCGACCAATCGAACGATCTGTTGAAAGTTACGATCAGTTTAATAGCACAGAAGCAGTGCAACAAATCGTTCTCGTCTGACAATACCCAACTCGCGTCAGGAATCGTGGAGAATTGGCAGATCTGCGCCGGTGAAGTGGGAAAGGACACGTGTCAGGTAACAAACACGCGTGTTCCGAGATCGATTAACGGACCGCGGATTTCGATGCGCTCATAAAAAATCATATTATCGCTTTCAGGGAGACAGTGGCGGGCCGTTGGTCGTCTTTAATCGAGATTACTACTGCATGTACACTTTGATCGGCGTTACAAGTTTAGGGAAGATATGTGGTAGCATAGCTCCCGGTGTGTACACTCGCGTTTATAACTACGTTTCCTGGATAGAAGATACGGTTTGGCCAGATTTGTAATCGAAATAAAAAATAGATTGAGAATTACATTTTTATACTACTTCCGTCTACTTATTTTACTCCGGCCCTCCTGCTCCGTTCAACGCATCACTGAACAGATGCTCAAGATTCACGAGGAAGAACTTAATATACATGTATGTATATTCTGATTGTATGTATGCTGATTCGGTGTTGCATAACGAACCAATTGGTCGAGGCAGAGGGCAATAAGGAAAATGCAGACACATTTCTCGCCGATGACGAACGAACGCAGTATTCCCCGTTTAAAAATAATATTTGTCGAGAAGCCACGATACTCAGAGCCGCATGCTCAACTCTCCGAAGAGTTACGAGAATAGTTGACTCGTTGAACCTGTTCTCGGACCTCGCTGCATCCTTCGAAAAGAGAATACGACATCCTTGACATTCGTGTTAAATGCTCGCACAGCCAATCACGGTCATCGAAGTTATTACACGAGTATAAAATTCCGCGCGAAGCAAGACGAGCCGTAGAAGCACGCAGGGAAACCACGAGGCAAGCTGCTGTGTACGAGGATCGCGGCGAACGAATCACCGCTATGATTAAATTATCGAAGCTCGTATTGATTTTATTTATCTCGAACGGGTCAATGTTCTGCGGAGCTCAAACGGAGGAAGGTAAGTAGATTTTGTTGGAACGAACCGTGGAGAACGTTGTACGATAACGTCTGAATTTTTCTTTTGTGAGAAAGAATTCGGTTCTATCGCGTGAGCCGTGAAACCGGAAAGAATCCCGTTATTCTATTCCAATGTGAACTCGAGAATTCTCGCAATGACTTTAATTGCTCTTTCAGGTGACTCGTGCATCGTCAATGGATTTGCGGGTAACTGCACCCGCATTCGCGAATGTCCTCCGGTTTACAACAACATATCCAGAGGGGAATATCCACACGTTGTGTGCGGTTACGACAAATATGACCCTATTGTGTGCTGTCCCGTTTCTGCACCCACTACGTCAGCTACTACTATTAGAACTACCACTGTGGCTACTAGTATTAGAACTACCACTCCTACGGCTCCTATCGGCTGGTCCAAAGCACAAAGGAGTATGTAATAAAAGATAATAATGCATTTGGAAAACGATCTGATCCGTTTTGTCGATCGTATCTTGCAGTGTGCACGTATTATCAGAGAACCTCTCCCAAATTTATTATCGGTGGTTCAAAAGCAAGATTCGCGCAGTTCGTGTTTATGGCCGCGATTGGATATAACTCGGACCAAGGGATCGCCTGGGAATGCGGCGGTACGTTGATTTCGACGAGATTCGTTTTGACCGCAGCCCATTGTACTTACAACCAGAACTGGTAAATACATGAAGAATAAAAATGCGCCATGATAGGAATTAGAATCGTTGTTACGTCAGGGGTAACGCGTCCTGGGTACGGCTCGGTGCTATAAACCTGTATCGTCCGAACAACGATTCGAATCCGGTAACGAGGCAAGTGGAGGAGAGGATAAGATACGATCGTTACAAGCGACCGTCGGAATATCACGACATTGCACTGCTCAAACTCGCCGAGCCCGTGACGTTTGGCAGATTTATAAAGCCCTGCTGCTTGCCGTTCGCTTACCCGGATGTTCCGAGCACGGGCAAAGCGGTTGCCGTAGGTTGGGGACAACAAGAGTGGGGTAAGACACAAGACTCGATAATCACTCGTTTGCCGACGATCGTACTTAATTCGTGGCATTCATTCAGCCGGAGAGCAATCGGAAGATTTGTTATACGTTAATGTCGACTTGGTACCGCAACCGATATGCAACAGGAGTTTTACCAACGGCATTAAGGACAACAAACTCGAGTGGGGTATAGTGGACGGATGGCAGCTTTGTGCCGGTGGTCTTGGAAAGGATACTTGTCAGGTAACGACTCGGATCGACGAACAACGCAGATGCAGCTTATTTTGCATGTTACTTTGAACTTCATAGGGCGACAGCGGCGGACCTCTGGTCGCGTATTTGGACTCTCAGCCGTCCTCATACACCGTAATCGGGATAACGAGCCTTGGAAAAGTTTGCGGCAGCATCACTCCGGGTGTATACACTCGCATTTACAATTACGTTCCGTGGATAGAGGACATAGTTTGGACAGATGCTGAAGTAGCTGAAGCTAGTTCCTGATTATAGTTTAAAAATGAAATAAATTTATTTACATCGTTATCCCCTCGGTTCCATGTTCTTCCATCGATCTTCTTCCATCGATCGAGCCGGGGAAAGCTTTCTCCTTTCGTCCGTCCGAATATTGTGCGAACGTCTCTTCCAAAATTTAGCGAACCTCGAGATATATCGGTGGCAGAATATTTCGGACGATGTTCGGCATCGATCCGGGAACGGACCCGCGCAAGCGCCAGCCGGCGAATTTCACCTAGTCCTCGTTACTTGCTGTGTACGCGTACGCTCGAAAACGGGGTGGTCGTCTATTTTCGTTTGTCCAGAATCGCGTAGCGATAGGTAAGGAAAGGAACGTTGAACACGTAGCTCGTAGCACGCGTACGAAATGAGCCGAACATCCAACGTGAATTAATCACCCTCGCGACTTGTAGTTTAAATGATACCACACTACAGTTAAACTCTCGCAATTAATAGAAAATAAATATGAGATCGCTGACAATTTGCAGCTACAGATTCATCTATTTTATTCGGTCAGGCGTATCTAGTATTTAATATAGATGCGCGAACGAAGTACGCGGAATTGAGACACGTGGCGTCGGTACGTGTTTCGGAACGTCGCGATCGATCGAGACGGTAAAAGTAAAATGATAACGAACGTACTTGCCTAGCGGAGTGGAGTCAATGTCTGCCACCCTCGATGCGTGCGTCAACGACACCGGATCGCCCTCGATATCGAAGGCCGAGGACAACCTGTCCAACAGCGACGGGCCTCTGATCAAAGGCTACGTTCGTCGGAACAGCTGCAGTAGCGTTCGTATAAGGTGAACAAATTCTGCGTCAAGGGTCCCGCATCGCTGCTAACGACAACCGTGTCGATCGTTTCAGTTCCGAGAACGTGAACAGGACGATAGTATCCTCTCACACGATGTACACCGAGAAATCGACGAAGCGACGTTACTGCCTGTGGATGCTTACTTTCGTCTTGGCAGTGATCGGCCTTTGCAATCTGTTTCTGAACATCACCGTGATCGCCGTACTACGGATCAGTCAGAGGATGGAAGCGATGGAAATGATACCCGACGAGAATCTCGTCAAGTTCTATGGGAAAACCGATTTGGACGAGGTCCGTTCATATTCGACGAGTTAAATTGTCCGTCGCGGGATTCGTCTGAAACAGGGATCGATGATATATATTTTCAGGTGTGCCTACGGTCGGGAGTCTGTCAAAGTTACGGGGACGAGTCGATGGAAGTCTCCGGCGACGATGCCGGCGTTCGGATAGACGTGAACGACCATCGGTCGCATGACAAGACTCTGACCAAGGTGACGGTCTTACCAAACGGGACTACAATGTCGAAAGTGGAGTCGTTTGAAGTAAAAGATCCGAGGACCGCGAGCGTTTACTTTACCACAGATTTCCCGAACTTCGGCTTACCGGCGGGCGTGGATAAGATCGACGTGAAGATCGCCGAGACGCACAGGATAACGTCGCCGGTGAACGAGAGCCTCAGCGTAAACTCCAACGAGCAAATTTCGATACAGGGTGCGGAGGGGACCAGTATGGAGAGTAAGGACATCGCCTGGAGCGCGGACAAAGACATTCTCTTGAAGAGCGTCAATGGGAGCATCGTCCTCGATTCGAAAGATGGAGTGTCCATCAACGTCGAGGATATACCGATCGCGCCGATGTTCCTTCAGAATCCATCCAGTCACGAGCAGGTCTACAAGGTCTGCATCTGCATGCCGCAGGGGAAACTGTTCACGGTACCGGTTCGCGCTGGCATCGACACCAACTGTGCCCGAATCAATCGGGCCCCGGAGAACGATCCATGTTTGCGATAAGATTCATGCTGTTTGTACTCTGATTTTTTAAGTACTCTAAGTAGACTCTCCGCCGAGCGGCGAATTTCATTGTTTGTCTTACCTGAACGAACAAGAGCGTTTGCCCTGGATCGTTCGAACTGCCGAGTGTACGAGGTCGCCAAGAAAAGATTTGAATTGTACTGCTGAGACGTAAACACGTCTCGGATCTTATTCATGAAAATACATAAAGGGTCCTCAGTTGCATTTGGAAAGAAGTAGGGGTCTACACTCAATTACATGGCGTAAAAACATATCGATCACACTGCTTACGAAACATCGTACGATTTATATGCAATACTAAATTCGAACTTTTGTATCGAACAATCGATATCATGAGTAAATCGTCATTGTCATTGTCAAAAAATGCCTGCCCCTTGCACGAGAGCGTTAAAGAAAATTAAACTATTAATTAGATAAATAAAGAATTAACCGCTCTCCGTTATCATTTCCTCGTTGCTCTCGTCCATGTCTTCTTGCTGTTCCTGTTCCGTGGGAGGTTCGTAGGCTTTGTCCAAAGGACTAGCGACCACGCCACCGGCCCACACACTCATTTCCACGGCCAGTTTGTTGGTACCCTCGAGCAACGGTCTGTAGCCTCCGTGAGCTAGCACTCGTAGCAACGTTTGAGCAGTGAGACAGACTAGATCTTGTTGTTCCAACGTCATGGCCGTGTGTACTCGTATATTACCGCTCTCGCATGGATCGGAGATACCTGAACATGAACAGACACAGAGAGTCGAGACGCAATACTCGTATAGCATTAATTAAATGGCGATCATATTTACCGGCGGATCCTGGTAGGAAGAGTCCCGAAGCTAGCAGCTGGAGAACTCGTTTATACGCCTGGTTGATCGGCAATGCTTGTCTGCTCGGATTATTCATTATAGCGTTGTGCGCCAGTAGATCCAGCATCCAAGGGGACAACGGATCCAGACCATCGTATCTGTTTCTCAGATCTCTTAGCAGTCTGATCAACACTTTTATACTGGAGTGATGCGCGTTCTCCTCGAACCATCGAGAATGTCTGATAGCGGCGAGATGGCCCTGGCAGATCTTTACGTCCAAGTGTTGATCGGATTCTAATTTTCTCAAGTTCTGATGTAACGTGGTGATGAGCACACGAACCGTGGCTTCATTATTGCCGATATCGAAACCGCGTTCCGTATGAACGAGCCTAAACACTTCTTTAGGATTCACACTTTTGAGGTCGTTGTTAACTTTTGTACCAAGAGCCTCTACTGCCGTCTTGGTAGGGAGGGTTTTAAGAATCACTACGATGTCTGCTACGTTGTGACCTTTAATCATCGTTCCTTTCTTGAAACTTCCTACCTGTCTCACTTCCTCCAATTGCTGCAAGAAATATGATCTTCATTAGACGAGCAAACGAACATAGTAGATACGATTGAATTATACATTTTAGATACTTACGCAAGCTTCGAAGCTGCCTGGAGCAACTATCAAATTGTCCAGCACACTCTGTAACTTAGTTACAAGGTTCAAGATAGAAGTTTGTTCCTTTGCCGTGGGACACATGTCCGTGTTCTTTTTCAAGAGTGCCATTTGAAAGTCCGATTCATCAGGAGCAGGTTTAACGCGTGGAAACGCTGCTTCGCACAAAGTATAATCGAACGGATGCCGTGGAAGGAATTGCTTCCTGGGGAAACCCATCCCACGGCCCATACCTCCTCGACCTCCTCTGATCATTCCGCCGCGACCACCTCGTACCATATTACGTCTAATCGTGAGAACAAAAAAGTAATACTCAATGTAATGATAAGTATTCAACAAACATTTATTAATGCCTGTCAAGATCGGACGAAGATATAACCATCTGAGAATATCAAGAAGCTCCTAAATTCGTCAGAGTTGCTTGAATGAATTAAGAATTCACCAAGATCAAATAGCAAACAACGAGTGAGAAAATGTAAGTTATTAATATCCAGATTGTATAATGAAACCTTTACGAGAAACTGGTTAACCAAAAATGCTCGGTAGCGGCATCGTTCGAAATCAGTGACGTTGACTATATAATACGTCAGTTCTACGAACAGGAACGTAAGGAACTTACCAAAGAGCTAGAAAAATGAATGAATGATGATATATTCGATATACTGCTTCACAATATTTAACAGCAAATTTAACTGTATGCAACTGTATGTACAACAAATATGATGCTACGATCTACCACCTCTACCACCGAGGAGAGATTACTAAAGAGTGGTGGCAACTATCGACTACATCGAACCAACTTCAGGCGGCTGCTTGAATTATCGATAAACTGCAATCTAAAGCTATGCGTTCAATAGAACATTAATTTCAAATAGCTACTAACTAAGATTAATGGAATAAGGAAGAATTATGA